GTTTCAGGCAACAATTGTCGTATCAGACCGAGTTTTTTTTTCTTTTTGTCTCAAGCAAGCTGATTTCTCACATATTTAGAAAAATGCAAACAGAAAACTAAATCTCATTTAATCCTTATTCAAGTCTAAAACTTTCAGCCACTTAATCAATTTCTTTTCTCAAATACCCAAATAGCGCCCGAAACAGTCACATTTTTCATTTGATACTAGGAAAAATGAAGAAGAAAAAATGAATCGTAAAAGAGTTTTACCGGAGAATCCTCTATGACATTTTGGCAAGACTCTTTACGAGATCTTGTTTGATCAAAAAAACATCAAGGCTGGAATCTCAGTGCTACTTACCTTCCTGCAGACAGTAAAATATTTTACTTGCGACAGTTTATATACTTTGATGCTTATACGACTACTATGTATTATCGTGTACGCTCTCCTAATCGCTTCACAGAATTAATTGCTCAGGTGAGTTTTAGTTACGTAGGAATGTTGATGAACTGTCCTCTGTATATTCGATTGCAGATTTCAAATCTTGAAAATTGGTAATTTCCAACACATTCATTTTTTTTCATTTCTTCTGGTATTAAATGAAAAATGTGACTGTTTCGGGCGCTATTTGGGTATTTGAGAAAAGAAATTGATTAAGTGGCTGAAAGTTTTAGACTTGAATAAGGATTAAATGAGATTTAGTTTTCTGTTGGCATTTTTCTAAATATGTGAGAAATCAGCTTGCTTGAGACAAAAAGAAAAAAACTCGGTCTGATACGACAATTGTTGCCTGAAACAGAACAAGTGTATTAATGTTTGAGAAATTACCCACCTTCTTGATTTGAAATCTGCGATACAGAAGACAGTTTCATCAACATAACTAAAGACAACGCAACTTCTAAACTCATCTGAGCAATTAATTCTCGACTTCTTAGTTAAATGTTGACTTAATTCTTGGTTTCATCCAAAATCTCAAGTATTGACTTAAGTTTGCCTTAACATCATTGCATGGAACATGATCTTAAGTTAAACATCGACTTAATATAACGTCTAAGGTCGTAGCAACGGCACCCTTGGCCATTAGATCATAAGTCTACTTTGTAGTTTCAATATTCTCAGAACATTTATGACACGATTCGCAGATGTACTTGTTTTTTTGTGCTTTACCATGTACTTTTGAAAGTTTGTAAGTGCTAAGTACTTGACCTCAAGTACATTTACTACACTCGAGTAAGATTTTGGATGTATCTTGGTTCATTACATATTATTTATGTTATTTTGACACTAAGAGTTTCAAGCTATTTCAAATAATACCGACCGATGTCAAACTATTGAGCTAATATGGCACAATTGACACATAGTTAATTACCTGTCATTAATATTTAGCTTAGCTCTTGTAACTCTTTATTGAAAGAAGTTATCAACTATTGATATTGGCAGGCAACTTTTGTTAACGGTGACTCTTGTGAAAAACTGTTACAAGACTCTTGTCTGCATTCGGGTAAGGATATTAATATGTGTTTCTTTTATTGAAGAAAGAGCAGACCAACGAAAAAACCAAGAAAGATAATTTACTATGCATACTTGTGGCTCTATGATATGAGAAAATATTTTATTTAACTTAAAAGCAGCGCTTGATTCTTCTAACTTTAACCTTAATTCGTTTGATAAAATCCCTTGGAGATGAAGACGAGAGAAATTAGAAAATATTGAAGCTGATGTCGCCAGTACTTGCTTACGTATCAAAAATGCCCAATTCGTACTTTTAATCTATTTGCAATAGGGGATTGTGTCACCGCCACTTCTTATGAACAATACTAGAAATCTGCATGGAAATAGGTTTATTGTTTTTATTTAATTATTCTCTGGTCTCACCCTAGTGAACGATCAGATGACCTGGTCAGGCATATCAGGATCCTGGTCATGAAACCAGTGACTAGCCTTATCACAAATCAGTGCCTGGTTTTTTGTTTTTTTCCAGTTCCGGGTCACGAAATCAGTGACTGGCCAAAAAAAAATCAGTAATCTGGTCAGTAAAAATAAATCAAGCTATAGGGTGACATTTTGTTTATACGATAGACTGAAACTCCACAGCATTAGTTTCGACATCAGAGTAATTGTATGAAACGCTCTGCTGGTATGATCAACAGGCTAAAATGGAGAATTTTTCTAATCCTTGTTCTGACGCGCCTCGTGATTTTGATTTTGCTTTTCTTGTCTGAACAATTAAAAATTATTTCTTGCGAAAACTATTCCGTTTTTGAAGCTAATCAGCATTTTTTGCTGAGTAAGATCTGAAACATACGAAAGAACCAAAAAGAATAAATAACGTTGATCATCAAGCTAAGGTAAGAAATGAATTATATGAACGGATACTTATCTCCAACATTTTATTATAAAAGTACACCATGCCTGTGTTTTACAATGTTCTATTGTATGTGAATCGATGCAGAATTGTCTGCTCTACAAAATGAAGCTAGATTAATTTTGCGACTGCCATATACGTGGTCTTTTTTTAAAAATACTGGAAAAAGATGCATATTTTAAAAAATTAATTTTTTTAGTTTTCTATTATTTAGTCCTAAATAATTAAACATATTATTATGTCTAAATACATAATCTTATAGAGTAAACATCGCTCTTTCAGATGAGCCATCAACCAGTTACAGAAGTATCATAGTTTTTGAGAAAATCAAAAAATATACAGATTAGTGAAAATTCACGTTTTTCGATTATGAGCATATTGAACACCATGCTTCATCGATCTTCCACACGATTAAAATGCATAATTGAAAAGTTAACAATTACACAGGTAGCATATCAATTTGATCGCTTTGCTTTTAAAAAAGTAGCAGTAAGCTATTTAATTCTCGCCAGTTTTTAAAACAAAACCATTAACAGCTCAACAGCTAAGATAGCCTCCGTTTGGATTCTTTGATTTAGTCGAAATTTCATCGCGTCACTCAACTCTGAATATCTATTCTGAAAGCCCTTAAGAGATAGTCCATTTGGTCATCGAGAATAGTCATAACAAACTGAAATTGTTTTCTCTCTAAAAGTGTTCTCATTCGATTCCCCATACCGAATAACGTGTAAATCCAAATTTTGAGCTTTCGATGTCTTTCGACTGAGAAATTATGACGTTTTTTTCGAAGGGCCCCGAACATTTTTCGCACACACCTATTTCGCTTACAACTTTTCAGTATTTTAACTATAACTCAAAAACGACATGTCTAATATTTTTGAGCAATAATTCATTCGAAAGAGAATTAAAAACTGAACAAAATGATATGTTAGAGCAGATTTCGCAAAAATTTTCTTGATCTGTTATTTCTTGATCGGCCATGTCATCTTTATACGCTTCTTCCTCATCGTCAGTATCACTTTCAGGTTCACTTGGTTTAGTATCTTTTCTCGTCTGTCGTGACCACTTTAATCGTGAAAAAAATGACCGGATTTGTGATGGTTTCATAAGTTCTTCAACAGTAAACATGAATTTGCCATCATTTGTTTTGGATTGTTGAATTTCAAATGCGACAGCTTCTGGTTTCTATCTTATACCACGCGTAATACCATCATTGAATTTATTTGTGAGATATTGTTTCTGTTTATCAGTAAATTTTGTAGCTATTCGTGGTTTTGGCAATGCCCAACCTTGATCCAATTTAGGTATATGTTGATATTGACTTTTGTCGAATGTAGACATTTCCAAAAGAATGGAAACCATTTGACAATCATCAACTTTTTCTAATTTTGACTGATATGTTTTTATGGCTGTATCAGCTAAACTATATTTTTCTATTACACGATGGTGTTTTTCGGCCAATAGATGACGAACAAAATTACCGTATTTCAAGAACTTTTGTACACATCCCTCTTCAATACAGTCATATAAAG